TTTTCGTGTCGCCCGAGACGCCGACAACAAAAGCACAGCTGGGTTTTTTTGGTTCAGGGAGAGAGTGAATTGAAAAGAAGAAGTCTCCTGGATTCCGGCATGGTTTTTTTTTCACAAGAGGATCGCACATGAAGGAAGTTATGACTGTTCAAAGCGTGAAAACTCTTTGGCGACACCAAAATTCAACCGTTGTCATTACGAAATCTCAAAACGAAATTCCTTCTTGAGGAACTTTCCTCAAAAAGGAGAAATTGGATATTAATCATGCAATTGATGAATGTAGAGCTTCGCAGCCCTGCTTTCCTCTCTTGAGAAGCTCAACTCTCGAAGAAGTTTTAGATGTTTGCATAAGGGTACTTCCAAAACTCATCCTATTTTTGAAAGATACCGCGAAATAGCTCGCTCAAGTAAATGAGTCCAGAATACGCCCTAACATTCAAGTATCCGATTCTGAGATCATCCCATACTTCTCGGGTATTGAGACGTATCGAGACCCTCTTTGAGGGGGTGTTCGTGGCGGAAATTTCACCCAACGCGACGGCGTGCCCAGATGCCAAGCAAGCCCTCCATTACTCAGGAATTAGGGAATTGCCTGCTAGGCTCGGTTGAAAAAATAAAAGCACAAATCTCTTTACTCTGCAAGACACTGTGTAGGTGCATGCAAATGCCACCACGTGTCCGAATGGGAAAAGGGTAAGGTATCGAAACAGATTTGATCAATGGTAGTCAGCACAGTTCGTTCCTCTGTTTCGTCAAGTTATGTGAATGACTGCAATCGAAAATTTGTAGAGAAACAGATCGGTTACTACCAATGGGTGCCGTTCATACTGATTGCCGAGGCTCTTATGTTCTCGCTGCCGTGCATATTCTGGCGACTTCTTTCCTGGCAATCCGGTACGTTCACGTAACTCAAACTGTACTTAGATTTTAACCATCGATTAAGTTAAAGTGAAGCGGAGTAATAAACACTAACAAAGCAGTGATTAGAGCCTTTGTTCCTGTGAACATAGATAATTTTCATAAAAGCTCCCAGGAGAAAAAGCCAAATAAAAACAGAGTAATAGGCGAGTAGCACCATAATCTTGATTTTAGAAAGCATGATCCGCAGTAGGAAGCGCAGAAATGTGGAAGAGGAATTGCCAAGAGACCCGTCTATGAAGAGAAACTGCAAGAAGAAGCGTCGTTAGAGCTAAAGTAGCATGTCGGGATACATCCTGTCAGACCATTCCTTAAACAGTTGGCATGATAAATTCCCTAAGACGGGTAGGATTAATACGCCTAGCTGGATGGAATTCCTCGCCCTGAGAAGGCGCTGCGTTTTCAAAGGAAGGTACCCTTATAAGGCCCTATCAAGCTGCAACATACCGACCCGGACGCCCACCGCGCCGCCCGCCCACAAATGGACGACCGATCCTGGTGTTCGCACTTCCTTTTCAAGTGAAATATGAAACAAAGGGTTGATATGAAATGATTGCGCTGTTGTATGGATATATGAGAACATAAATGCACTCGTATCCACCGTAGCGGTTACTAGCAAGATGCCAAGGGGAACTCGTCCGAAATCGCTTTTTGAGTCGTGTAGAACGAAAGCTTTTTCAAAGGTTCCTGACCGTTTCACTTCGTTTTTTGCCATTTCTCACTATTTAGCACCCCTGCTA